GGAGTTAGCAAAGTCTTCCTTCTGTATGCTAAGAGGCCACCCATTTCTCTTTCTTGTAAATTACTGTGGGCACAAATGATGGACACTTGACACTGTTTATATCATCAAATGGTGTAGTCAAAGGAGCAGTCATTTGTCTGCCAAACTTAACAACCCTGTGAGGCAGTGTTCAGCTTTAATAAGTGACTGAGAAGAAGAGGGTGACATATTTCCCCACTGCCCTCTAACATAGTCATTCACTTGATTTAAATCCCAGAAGTCCATGTCGGTCTCATATTCATGGGAAGCAGCATGAGATTCTACTGGCTTCCAACTTGCATACCTAGGCACTTGATCCACGTAGTATTAAGTCTCATCAAGCATCTCCTTTAAGTTAGGAACAGCTAAGCTTTCAAAAGTCTGAATCAGAGGGTGCAACCCAGGGTTCACCACTCTCTGAAAAGGCTGTGAATGGTTTGAGAGTATGAAATGGTGTGCCGTCGCTGCCTGGGGACTATAGTTCTTAGTGAAAAAACAAGGACATGGCAACTTTTCCCCAAGGGATTGCTTCTTGCCATCCTTTAGAGAACTGGAATCCTCAAGGACCAACAAACACTATAGATAACTTGAAATGGGCTTTATTATTCACAAAGAGTTATCTTTCTGAGGCATTAAACTTGATGTTCCAAAAGGGGAGTAAAGAAAATATACACTACAGTCTCTGGTTGCCTTGGGTGCAAGGAATTTTCCAGCTGAATAGCTTCCAACTTCCCTCTTTCTCAATGGCTATGAGGTCGGAACACTCACAGCCCCAGTCCAATCGCCTATATTGAAGGCACAAAGTCTTCCTCTTAATGCCAAAGGACTGGTTTGAAGGCACTTAAGATTCCTCAACGTTGTCCAGATGAGCTGGGCATGAAGTATGAATCTTAAGGGTATAAACCTGAGAATTGGTGGTAAGAAATGACTTGACCAAGCCTTTCGCACATCCATGTGTTGAGCCTTTTGGTGGAAGAATGAAAAGGAAAGCACTGCCCTCCTCCCTAGGAAGAGGTGGAGCCAAACAATTGAGCTGGGGGAGCAATCCAATTGATGTAAAACAACATTGATAGACAGCTGTAGATAACCAAACAATTCAACTATACATTTACATACAAGTGGCGCCAGTCGCGCAGTCACAAATGGCAAGGTTTAAAACATCTACCAGTTGAAGTCAAATGTGGCAAAACAGTTGTTAGAGTGGTCCAGCATTTTTGTGTTGGTCATGTCCAGGTTGGTTCATCAGGTGCTCTGCTGTGAATCTGTGAATCCCACCTCCTCCAAGATGAACTGAACCACTCAAACTAGGCTTTACAAGACAATGGATACTCCACAACAGACATCAGAAGAGCTGTAAGACCGAGAACAAGCCACTCAAGTAAAGACAAAGATCCACCCAGAGGAAAGTGTTCTTGCCATTAATCAAGGGAACCACTGACCGCATAGGGAAGCTGATGAGGAAACACAACATACAAACAATTTACAGACCCACTAAGAAAATCCAACAAATGCTACATTCAGCAGAGGACAAGAGCGATCCTCTCACCTCTGCAGGAGTCTACCATATACCCTGCAGCTATGGACAAGTCTACATAGGGACCACCAAACACAGCATTGCCCAAACACGAATCAAGGAACATGAAAGGCACTGCAGCCTCCTTCAGCCAGAGAAGTCAGCAATAGCAGAGCACCTGATGAACCAACCTGGACACAGCATATTATTTGAGAACACAGAAATGCTGGACCACTCTAACAACTACCATGTCAGGCTACACAGAGAAGCCATTTAAATTCACAAGCATGTGGACAATTTCAACAGAAAGGAACAAACCATGAAAGTGAACAAAATCTGGCTACATGTATTAAAAAACTCTAGAATTATAACAGTAAATAAAGAACAATAGTCAAACACAGGGGAATTCCAGAGAAGAAACAATCAGGAACAGCTAATCACCTCTCAACAAAGAATCCCCCCAGGCAGTAACGAGTCACACCTAAAAACTGTCAGGCCATCAAATGCTAATCAAGGTGGCCAATTGAAACATTCACAGCTACCTCCAACAGACAAGAGTTATTTCTCCCACCCTGGACGTTCCACAGATATATAAATCCAATTTTCCTAGTTTCCAACAGACCTCACAACCTCTGAGGATGCCTACCATAGATGCAAGTGAAACATCAGAAGAGAATGCTTCTAGAACATGGCTATACAGCCCAAAAAAACCTACAACAACCCAGTTCAAAGCCAGTTTGGGGCTGCGGTGACCACAAAAATTTGCCCACTGTAGCATACATCTAAGGGTATATAGTGCATTAAAAAGTCTCAGGAAAGTATGTGTTCAGTTAAAAAATGTGCCATTGTATCCCAGATCCTTTCATTCTCTGAATATATTGAAGACATTTGCCCCTGCTGAACTGATCTAACAGGGAGGGGTAACTGATAACCTCTACTGCTGTCACTTTCGCTTTTTTCACCCTGTATGCCTCCAGTGCATTGATGCACGATTCTCCCAGAAATCTGGGGGCAAAAGTTGTTTGAGGCCAGGTTCCATTGCTAATGTAATCATTCTCCTGGCCTCCAACTGTTTCCAAGCATGCCAATCTACGTTATCTCCTAATTAAAACCATTTTCTGCCAAACTAGTTTTAGGATAGAATATATTGTCAGTGTAGAAGTGCCCTATTTCTTCATGGCACTACATTAAAAGCATTTCAGACCTTTCTACTTTTGCCTCTCTCTTGGTGGCACTAGTAATTTCAAGGAAGGATATTTTTCCCATCGGGCGTGTAGTGCAAAAGGATAGACTGAACTATCCCCCACAGCACACCTGCTATTTATCATTTTAAAAAACCCAAGCATCCAAATGCTACTAAAACATTTAGCACCACATGTAGTCTTTTTCTCTATTTTGTTTTGATGTTTGCTACTCATTCCTCCTAGACTTTCCCCCTCTATTTTTGGATGAGATAATAATCGATGCTGTCTTTTGGAGAATTTCAAGTTAAAGAAAAAAAAACATGCTGAGTGGTTTGAATTATTCTTCTTAGTATAGATTCTGAAAGCACGGTAATCAAAACATCAGAAGTGTACATTGCAAATCAAATTCTAAATTAAATCAAGAATATTGTTTTAAAGCATCCAAAACCAGTTTGTTTAACTGTGTTCTTGCTGTTTTGCTGCTAAGCACAATCTAAGAGAATGCAGGGAGAGTCTGACAAATTGAGACATCACTGGCAATTAATCTTAATTACACAACCGGAAGGGGATATTTCAGCTGGTCATGGTCTGGAAGAGCAAAATACTTTTCCTTGATACAAAGCTTGAAAATATTTTTCAATGCTGAAAGCATGTCTAAAATCTTTATGGATTAGGAGCTTTCTGGAAGGCCAAAAAATAGAAGTATATGGACTAATGGGTCTGATTTTCACCATCCATCAAAATATAGCGTATTAAATTGATTAAATCCCCTCTCTTGGAGAAAAAGAAATCTGAGGGCATGCCCTGACAACAGAACTGGGGCTTTTTCAGTAAGGGATAAACTAATGTAAGAGCATATTTTCTTGTGATGCTTCAGCCTAAGCTTACTCAATTCCATTGGAAACAACATTTTGCTCCTTAAGACATAAAGTATCATGGGATCACAGAGAGGGGGAAAAAATCAAAAGGGTAATCTAGTCTAGCCCCCATAATGTTGGAATCCACAACTAAGGTACTCTTGGAAGATGCCTATCCAATTTCTTTTTAGGGGCTTCCAGTGGAATGAACTCCCTCTGAAGAAGTTCATTCCACTGCTGAACATCTTTCACTGTCAGGAAATTCTTTCTAATCTTTAGGTGGATTTTTTTTTGTCATTTGAATCCACTATTTTTTATCCTCCTCTATGGGACGGTAAACAAAGAACTTGCCCCATCTTCTGTCTGTTGTTATTGTGCACCTTCTAATCATTTCCAACGAATGATGATCCTAAGATGAAAGTATCATGGGGTTTCCTTGGCAAGTTTTATTCAGAAGGGGTTTGTATTTGCTTTCCTCTAAAGCTGAAATCATTGATTTGCCCAGGATTATTCTGGTCTCCAGAGGTATAATCCCGATGCTCAAACTACTATACCAACCACACTGGCTCTCTTCTACATGATTTTCCTTCAAATATTTAAAGATAGCTATCTTCATATCACTTTTGTCCTCCCTGTAAAAATGCCAATCTCCTTAAACCCATCAGTATTCAGCAGATTTTTGACCATCACTGCATAAACTATCATAGAGAAAAGTATACTTGTCATTTCCTTCTGCTTATCCACCATTCCTCCAGCACTTACTTACAGAGATTCTGTCCTTGTTGGAATATGTCAGTATTATCTGTCACAATTTTATAAAGACATAAAAACCCAGAACAAATACTAGGGAGAGAATGAATGTCTCAACACCTATCACTGATTGGCAGAAGTTAGAGGGCAGTCCACATTGTCACTGTCCATCCAGGCACCTTACCTGATTTTAATGACTTCAAGTGCCCTTAAGGGACAGAGGGAAAATTGTTATAATTTTGTCTCTTACTGACCATTTTGGACCTATGGCAGAACCTTATTTTCAACAGGAATGGATCTGAAATACAACTGCGGACTACTTACTATTTGAAAGAATGTCTCTCCTAATCATAAAAAGCCATAGGGTGGCAAGGAGACAAAATTGCTTCTCGAAATGCCTACAGGTATTAAGGATCTCTAGGATGTGTGAATGGATAGTGAAAATTACTAATGTAGACACACATATTAAGGACACAACCATGAAAGCCCAGTCTGAACTACTATTATTGCTACTATTACTATTACTTCTACTGAGCCTATTTGCCTTTTCATCTTTCTACTTGAATATATCCAGGTTAAGCAATGGTTTAGAGATGGTTCCACTTATGATGCTCCCAACAGACCCCATATGCAACACTTAAAAGGATAAAAACAGAACCCCATTACTGAGAGACCTACCCATGTTTTTCTCTGCTTGATATGAGTGGGATTTTGATGCGGCTTTCATTAGCATGGTGAATTTGAATGACATATTCCCCACTTTGCTGGAAGTATCTGTAGATAGCGACTTGTATAGTGCAGTCTTCACTACTGCTTTTCAACCAAGGACTCAAAATTAGGAAATTCGTGTTTTCTGATGTATTAAGGTACAGGAATGAGCCTGCAAAGAAAAAAGAAGATGGGAAGTCTGGTTATTGGAAAAGGTACAATTGATGCACTGGCTGACTTTTAATCATGGCATTATTCTGTAGCATCCTTCCTTAAGCACAGAGATGGAGAGGAACCATTTCCAGAACAATCATCCCAATCCTACTTTTACTATTCTCGAATCTCATATTTTAGAATACATTATTTTGCCATACTCCTCAGATTTATAAGTTACCACTCTCAATGAAACCATATCTCCCTTATACGTCAATGCTTGCAGGATCAGGCAAAAGCCCTTTAAATATCAGAATGGGTTGAAAGTCTCAAACAGTCTTTGTCTCAAGGTGTTGTTGAAGGCTTCCATGGCTGGAATCACTGGGTTGCTGTAAGCTTTTCCGGTTGTATAGCCCAGCTATATTCCAGAAGCATTCTCTCCTGATGTTTTGCCTCATCTATGGCAGGCATCCTCAAAGGTTGTGAGGTCTCACAACCTCTGAGGATGCCTGCCATAGATGCAGGTGAAACATCAGGAGAGAATGCTTCTGGAACATGGCTATACAGCCTGAAAAGGCATGGCCTGACTTACCGGGCCAGAAACGTTGTGGTGTGGGGCGTCCTCCACTGCCATTATGGCCTCAGGGGGGCTTCTTCCTCCCAGAAGCCCCCTGGACGGTGGGAAAGTTTCCTGCCGTTCAGCTGGAGGGCCAATGGCTAGCTTGCCATACCCTGCCACTGGAGAGGCCGGTGCTGGCCTCTTCCTCCTCAAGGGCAGCCTATTTAAGGCTGCCCCAAGCTTTCTGACAGGCACTCTGCCTGTTACAGCTGATCCATCCCACCCACCCTGCGTGCTGATTGTGTCTTGATTTTTGGTTAGCTTGTTTTGTTAACTTGTCATGGTTACCTTGTGCTTGGCTTGTTTTGTGCTATTTGTCGCAACTCCTTGTTGGCATTGGGCATTGGCCCTGGATCCTAAGGGAGCGGGGGAATGTCCAGTGACGCAGGGGTGCTGAGTTTACGTGGGTCCGGTATTGTGCCGGCGGCACCCTGGAGGTTAAACTGTATCGGACAGCAGCGGGCTGCCCGATCCTGGTGCACAACCCATGCATGGCTGCCAATCCTTGTTCCTGTTATCAATAAATTGAGTTGTGGCCATTGTTTAACCCAAAACCCTCGTGTGAACATTTTCTTGGGGCAGCTGGGGAGGTGTATCACCCGTGCACATGCAAAAGCTTACAGCAACCCAGTCTTTGTCTCCTCCTCAAGAATCCAATCCCGTATGCTGATTAGAGTACTTCAGCAACTGTGGTGTTCTCCAGCCATTCATGGTGCTCTATTATGGGTTCTGACATCCTCAACTTTACCAATTTATGGGGTGATCATAGGTTTTTGCCTTGCTCAATCTGACCTGCTCAAACTTTGCCTTAACGGTAGGTGTCTCCACTATTAGGCCACTTTCCTTGTAAACCTCATGTCTTGCTGGTGTAGAACATAACCTGTTTTATCAAAACAAGTATGAAAGTTACTTTATTTCCAAATATAGCTATTTATTCTAGAACTGCTGTGGTAAATTTGTACTGAATTCACCCGAATTCAATTTCCTTCTCTTTTGTCCTTCCTCTGTACCAGTGCCCAGCTTTATAGGAGTTAATCCCCTATGTTTACCATATGCTAGTTTTCTTTTCCTTTCTTCTTGCCTCTTACCTACACATTTTCTAAACAAGATGTTATTTCTAATCTTACTGACTTTATCTACTACTTTAACCATACATGTGCTTTTCATAACCCTGGATCTATCCACTCACCCACATGATTTTCCTATTCCCCATCCCACTGATATATCTCTCCCCCCCCCCCTTTTACCTCCCCTATTGATTTTCTTTTTCGTTAGTCCTTCCATCCAGACACTCATCTTCCTTCCAGCCTACTGCTCATTCTGTCTTTCCCTAGTATCCCTCTCCTCCCCTTCCCTTATCAACCATTAGAATTACTTCCTTCCTTTCTAAGTATTTGATGAGTATGGGCCCTGCAGAGGAAGACATTACATAAAGCTGCCTCTGGAGCAACTGAAGAAACCAGTATCTTTCTGAGAGTTAAGTAATGTTAGGGATGTCTGTCACCTTGTGATTGAACATAATAAAACAGGCTAAAGAGAAATAAATTATCCAAAATTAATTCATCTATTTAAAGAACAAAATAACCAAGAGGTGCCGCCTAAGGTTCATTTGGTGTGCATGCCGAGTTTCAGGTATTTAGATTTCAGTCTCTCAGAGCCAGGGAAGTTACATTCACACATTCTCTTTCATAATCATAGATTTATTTATTTAAAGTATTTTATATTGCTTTTCAAGATTAAGCCTCCACAAGGTGGTTTACAAGATAACAGTTTAAAGCAACAAATGTAAAATATAAATAACTAACGCAGCAGCATAAAACTACATCTGAAAATTAACTAAAATTAGCTGAAACAGTAAATGCCCCAATTTATATAACAAAGTTTGCTACACATCTACTTTAAAAGCATTATGAAATGTCTAGGAATTTAAATCTTCTTAACCAACAGCCAGAGATGGATACATACATGCATCCAGTAGCAAGTTGTTCCACAAGATTGGAGAAACATTCTAAATTGAGCTAAGAAATGCACTGACAACCAGTGCCAGTGGTAGATGACTGGCTTTTATCATCTAACTTCTGCCAATCAGTGATGGGTGTTGACAACCTGCATTTGTTTAAACTTCTCAACCACATTTTAAATATGTTTTCACATACAGAACATTGTAGTTGTTGAGTCTGAATGTAACTAGCATGTGGATTAATTCAGCAAGGTTTGCTTTCTCTGTATACAGCAGTAGGTGAGAAACCAGCTGATTCTCAAAAAAGATGTCTCAGGGAATTGGGGTAACTGATATCACTGTTTCCATAGATACTGCAGAAGCCAAGGGAACCCACAAACTGCAAATCTGGTTTTTCAGTGAATTGAACCCCACTGAATGGCAGTCTCACAACTATGGATCACTATCTCCTAAAACAGAAAATCAGGACCACTGTTCTGGGCTTGATATTAATTGAGAAAGGCCCCACTAAATCCCAGACTACTTCAGACAAAGGCTGAAATCCAACAACACACTGGGCAGTGTACGTCCCCACCAGTATACTTTCCAAAGGTGGCAAAGATGGCAGCAGATCATTCATTCTGCAAGAACAGTGAGTGCCAAGCACAGATCTATCTCTCTGGCCAATGCTTGGCCATTAGGACACACCTGTGTTTGTTCTGGTTATTCTGGAGTGTTTAAAGAAGGTGTACACTCTACCATCAGGATAATTCCAGGCTAGGCCAAGGGTGTTATAAAATTCTGTATCTTCTGAACAACTCTGATGCATTCTTTTGTGAGACTGTTGCACATTTTATCCTTGAGATTAATAACTTCTAAGTATGTTTTCTTTTTATCTGTTTCTTCCTCTTGTATGCCAGTTTTGTTGTTGTATGCCAATAAAGCTTGTGTGTATTTACTAGCCAGGAAAAACATATATTTTCCTCCTCTGTTCCCAGGACAGCCATGTTGGAACCGGGCTGACACTTAAAGTCAATCAGTGGTCAGAAATATAAGTAGTATCCAAGAGTTGTTACATGCTGAGGTGAGGACCTTATGGAAAGAACATGCATGGCAATATTTCATAGATGAAAACCAGGACACATGGCCAAGCAATATCAGAGTGTGATCAAGATGGCCAACTTTATTAATGAAGAAAATACACAAACTAAGAGATACTGCAGCCGATTACTTTTGTATGAGCCTGCTGGGAAGTACCAATTCTTTTCTTCTTTCCCTCTTTCCACTGCTGATATGAATAAAAACTGCTTTTATTTTGAACAACTTTTGCAACAATTAAAATAAGTTAAAAACAATTGGTGGGGGGGGGGAGTGAAAATAGGAAAGAGACTCTGAGACATTTTAAGAAGCAGTTGAAAAAATGACTGAAGCTTAATCAGGGCTCTCCATGCCAAACAGGGACAATTGAGATATATAATGGATGTACTGGAAATCTCTTTCCACCACAAAAAGTGCATATGCAAGTGTAACCATGAAAAATACCTTGCATGTCTGTAACAGAATGCTAGCCAAGAGGAAATCATTCAGTATGGATTTGTGAGACAGGTCCATGGTTGGCGGAGCTCAGGGTTTGCCACTCAATCTCAGCGCTTGGCTCTACTACTTCAATAGTCAAGGGGAGTTGAGGTTTATTGAGGTAAGAGTACAGCCTTGAAAGTATGTAACTTTCATGTAATCCTCATTTGTTGGACTTGCATCTGTGGTTGATGCACAATATTTTGTAATGCACAAGATATGAAATAACAACATAATACAGGGCCTGCTTCTTGTAATATCATCTGGTCCTACACTTCGATGACACCACATGAGATTGCTTCAAAGTCTCAGATTCTTGCCCTACAATTGCTCTCTCATTAAAGGAGAAACAAGACAAGTGAGAGAGCCAGTATGATGTAGCTGTATGAGCATTGGATTATGATTCTGGAAATTGGGCTTTGAATCCTCACCCCAGCAATGGAAACCCCTGGGCAACTTTGGACAAGTTACAGTCCCAGACTTAGAGGAAAGCATAAACAAACCTCCCATAAAGAAATTTTGCCATGAAAACCTCATATTAGGTTGACTATATGTCAGAAATGATTTAAAGGCAAGTAACAAAAATATTAGCAACAAAGATCCTTAACATTTGGTCTAAAGCATGAAGGAGATTCACAACTCAATTGACATGGAGGCACTATTGGACCTGATCATGTATTTATTTGCCAATCAGACAAGGATTTTTCCAGAATGTCCATCCCACCTGTGATATGTCAAGTGTAGTAGGAGATACTTTCACATTTTAGATGTGACCTACAAGCTATGCCCTGCATTGTGTTGTCATTTCTACAAATTTACCACCAGCCAATTGATGTTTTACAGTCATATCTTTTACCTTCTACTGGGAACCACAAGAATTAGAGTT